AAATATGGGTTAAGATTTGTATTTGTGTTGTGATGCTGTTTGTTGATTATTTGAAATTATATTGTGTATTAAGTTAAGTTTTATTACTCGTATGTTGTACATTTTTTTAAGATCCATATATTTTTTTAATTGGGGGCAGATGTTATAAGATTTTATTCTCCTTTCTGCTCCTTTTCATTTGACTACGTTGTCATAGTCTTTTTAAAACAACAATGTTGTATTATTTGTTTGCTTCTATTATTATTTGTTTGTTCTTTTATTAATTGTTTGTTTTATTATTTGTTTGTTGAATGAAGTACAGTTCTAACGTAAAGTAAAGTCCCAGGGCTCAAAGAAAGAAAAGGAGCAGGATGATAAATGAAACGAGCCTCGCAGAGAGAGATCTGGAGTAAAATCAGGTCTGGAGAATCTCCTGCTCCTCGTCTTTTAGAGCTGCTGACAGACAATAATTAAAATCTAATGATTTATTAACATGTATGGAAACTGAATCATTACGCAGCGTGTGTGTGTGTGTTTCTCCTCTGCTAATGGATTTATGGGAAAGCTACAAGCTGTGAGCAGAACACGTGTGTTCTGCTCAGTGTTCCCTCATCACACAGCCCGTTCGTTGTGTTCCCTCTTCTTTTTTGTTTCGCGTGTGTTTTTCGGCACGGGATCTCTTAAACTGCGAGCGCCGTGCAGACGGAGGCGACCGGGCGGCGACCCCCACCGTGCGATAAATAAAGCCGTGCAGCTGCGCTCCCACCTGGATGCCCCTGAAGACTCCGTGCGTGTGTATGCGGTACTGCGTGCTGCAGCTGTACACCATCGGTGTGCTGGGGTCGCTGTCGTAGCCCGCCGCGTGGCTGCAGACACAGAAAGACACAACCGTCAGATAAATACACTAAAAAAAATCCTTGTGAAGACTTTATTTCAGACAGACTCTTTAATCAGACCAATGCAAAGCAACAAAAAATAAAATTCAAAGCCATAAATCTTTAATTCTGTCAGGCAGAAGCTGAAGTTCTGCTTCACTGAGCGCTTTGTGTGCAGGTAGGATAACGTCAGGGAGGAAACAGAACTTAATGACCTTCATCTGGTCACATCCAGCCTTTTAATGCAAATAACTGAACCGGGTCACAGATAAAACCAATTTTTTTTATTTATGCTCTGTTTTTGTCTTCTTAAGATACGTTAGCCTTCCTATGATAAGTTAGCTTTTAGCTATGTTTTTACTTTTAAATAGCATTTTGCTGCTTTTAGCTTCAACAGCTTAGTTTCAGCTTTACGTTGTCACAGAAAACGCTAACTACAGCTTAAATAAAAAGCTACATCTTTAATTACCAACAGTGAATCTAAATAAGATTTTAAATTCTTATTGAAATTAAAAAGTATTTAAGATGATTTAAGTCAAAAAATGTGCAGATATTTTGACTCAAATCAACACAAAAATGCAAATGAAAAATTTTTTTTAACAACTTTTTGAGTAAAAATAAAAGTTTTGGTGATCTTACATTTAAATAC